CACTACATCCTGGTGAGGTGTACACATTCAAGGGAGCCCAGACCCAGCTGAATCATAAGTCTTACAGCAACAGAACATAGAAGGGCCAGGGTGGAAGTGCCCAGTGTGGAAAAGATGTTCTCTGCCTGGAGGAATCAGAGAAGACTTCCTGGAGGAGGGGGCATTTAGGTTGGGTCATGAAGGATGAGTAGGAGTTCACTACTAAGAAGTATATGGAGAAAGACATTCACTCATTCAATTAACATCTCCTAAGGCCTCCCATGAGCCCACCCTTGAACAGGGTGATGCGAGGAACACAGAGATGAGTCAGATCTGGGTTTGGCCCTCAAGGGACTGCTCATCTGGTGAGAAGGAGGGATGGAGAGAGAGGCAGGGGACATGGGGTGATATGAAGGACACTGGAAAGGAGATGGGTAGAAAAGAAACAAGACCATGTTCTCAGGACTTAGCCAAGATCTGGTGGTATTAATGGGAAAAGTGCTTAGTACCAGCTAGGTTGGGCACCTGGATCCTTGGGGTGGTAGAGATGTGGAAACAGAAGTAGGTTATGACAAGAGTAGGTTAACCCAGATGGGATCATATTTCTCAACCTCCTGGGAGAGGCCTTTATCCTCGTGGGAAGGGGCCAAGCCCCGGTGCCAGGGAGGGTTCTGTGGGTGTGTAGCTCCCTTTGTGGTCTCTGCCACTCCAGACAGCGTTTCTGTCTCTTTTTCTTTTTCTTGCTGCATCTTTCAGTGTCTTTGTCTCCCTGGGTTTTTTTTTTTTTCTTTCTCCCTCTTTCCCTACCTCACCCCCATCCTGCCGTCTAGTTTGCCAACATCTTCCATCTGAGTCCTGATTCTTTCTCCCACTCCTAGCCTGATTCCCTGGAGTTCTTGCTAGGTAACACTCCAGCCTGCCGAGTGCGTTGGTCCCAGCCCACTGCAACTTCATTCAAAATGAACTTGCTTCCACCCTAGGACTCCACCTTAGGGATCTTCCTTCCTCCTTTCTCTCTTCCTCCTCCAGGCCACAGAATATCCTGTAACCAGATGCTGCCACCCCGAAGCCAGGGCGAATCAGGGCTGCCCTCTCCAGAGAACCCACCTGAGAAGGACTGTCTCACCCACGGCCCCTCCCCCATTGCGCCAGACCCCTGATGCTGCCGGCCCCTGGCTCATCCTGACAAAGGGTCTACCGGTGCAGTCTGCCTCCCCACGGCCCCCAGTCAAGGCCCCTGGGCTTCCCCCTCCTCCCCAGGACATGTCCCAACCCAGATTAATCATGGGGCGGCCCCAAGGAGGAAGACAGTATGGCTTACCATAAAGAAGCAGGGACACTGAGCACAGGCTTGAAGATCCAGGCACCCCAGAGGTCATGAGGCTGGGATTCCTCTGTGCTCTGCTCTCCCTCCTGGAAGGTGAGGTTCCCGCCAACATGCTCCCCTGCATGGCCCCCCGCCGGGACCCTTCCATCAGGCCCTCTGTCTAGCCTCTCTCCTCGAGCCCTGCCACCTGGCTCTCTGATAACCCTTCTGCCTCCCGTCCCCACCCCAGGGCAGGGCTGGGCAGACACCCGAGCCATCGGGGCCAAGGAATGTCGCCCCAACTCACAGCCCTGGCAGGCTGGGCTGTTCTACCTCACCCACCTCTTCTGCGGGGCGACCCTCATCAGTGACCGCTGGCTGCTCACAGCTGCCCACTGCCGCAAACGGTGAGTGACCCGGACGGATGGGGCTGGAGGTCAGGAAAGAGAGAGAGGGGCCAGGGACCTCTGTTGAGGAGGGAGGGAGCCGTGGGCAGGAAGGGCCGAGCCTCCACCTCTGTTCCCCAAGTTCATCTCCTAGAGTGACAGAGAGTTGACTCTAAATTCTAGCATCCTAAAGAAGCTGGTTCTCAGGGTGAGATTTTGAAACTTCGACTCTTAGGTGAGTTCCCTGGTGGTTCACACCATAAAGAATCCGCCTGCCAAGCAGGAGACCTGGTTCTGTCCCTGGGTCGGGAAGATCCCCTGGAGGAGGGAAGGCAACCCACTCCAGTGTTCTTGCCTGGAAAATTCCATAGACAAAGGAGCCTGGTGGGCTATAATCCATGGGGTCGCAGAGTTGGACATTACTGATCATCTTCACTCACTCAGACTCCTAGATGCCTAGACTCTGACCTGGAAAAATCCAGAGCCATACATTCCTAAAATCTTGCATCCAAGGATATTTTACACTAATGTAAGTAAGCAATTACATTAGTGATGTTGCTGAATTGGAGAAACATAGATTCAGGGACAGGTAGAATCTGAGTAGTCTAGAGCAGCACTATCCAATGGAAATAGAACCCTAACCACATAGGAAAGATTAAGTTTTCTAGCAGACACACCAAAAAGGCAAAAAAAAAAAAAAAAAAGTAAAATTAATTTTAATAGCAGATTTAACTTGCCATACTCAAAATGTTATTTCAACATGTAATCAATTTTAAAGACTTATGAATGACATAGTTTAGTCTTTTTTTTTTTTTAATACTAAGCCTTTGAAACCAGGCTTGCATTTTACAAGTATGTTGCATCTCCATTTGGACTAGCCACATTTAAGCGCTCAATCACTGTGTCAGATAGCTCAACCCTAGAATCTTAGATTCAAAGTGCTCTACCTAGGTTCATTGAGTAGAGAAGCTCATAGTCTCAGAATTTCTGAATTACAGTGTCCTAGAATACTGTGGTTTGTAGAATTCTAGAATCTTGAACCAAGAGAATTCTAGATTATGTTCGTACATGTCTAGAATCTGGTGGATTTACTATTCCTGCATACTACCATTCAAGATTTCTAAAATTCCCAAAGTGTTAACCAAGAGAATTCGAGAGTTTCAAACTATTTGAAACCTAAATTCTTACATTTCTAAAAATCAAAGATTTCTAGATTTCTAGAATGATGAAATTCTAGTTTTACTGTCCCAGAATATTAGAACCCTAGGTGTTTATGTCCTAGATTTAATTCAGATAATTTAAAAATCCTAGACTTTTTGATTCAGGGAAATCAAAAACATTAGAATCTCAAATTCTTAAGATACTAGAGCTTGAGCCTCACAGAATTCTAAAATTGTGGGTTTCCAAGGCATTAGAACCTTAGAATTTTAGAATCTTAGATTCTGGGCATTCTAATAGAATTCTAGAATCTACCTGGTGCAGAAATCCTTTTTATATTATCTGGGGAAAGGGGCCATCACTCCTGTTGGATATTTTCCCTCAAGAAATGAAGCATAGGGGCTACCCAGGCTGCTCTGTGAGAATTTCCCATCATACACCACTCTTTTAGCTCAGGCCTGTACATCAGGCTAGGAAAACAATGGCCACATTTCAGTACCAAAGACAGAGGGGAGAAGCAGAAATACGGAGATGCAGGAGATTCAGGAGCAGGGACAAGTCGGGGCTGTGGGGTGGGGTTGGGGCTGGTTTCCCAGACCCAGAAACCACGGCAACAGTGTGACAGAGAGGGAAAAGACAGAGCTAACACCTTACAGTCTTCAAACCCTGAGTTCTCAATCATTAGCCTGGTCCCTAGTGTCAGAGGCCAGGGGTTGGGGGATGGACATGTAGACACCCTGAGGGTCCCTGGCTGCCAGAGCAGAGCAAGTGGGCTCTGCCACCACAGGAAGAGGGTTTGAGACCGGATTTCAGGAAGAAGTGCATTGAGAGATGAGGGATGTAGCAGACAGGAAAAGTCTGAGGCCACGAATGAGCCTAGCTTGGGGATTTTCCGTATCCCACCCTTTCCACGTACACACACACACACACGGAAAGACACAGCGCCACACCCCACAGAAGCCACCAGACCTGTGGGTGCAGGTTGTAGGGCTGTCGTGGGGTGATGGGAGGAGGCCTCACCTCCCTCCATGGTTCCAGGGGACCCAGGTCACCACTGGGGCTCCAGGTGGGGCAGAGAGGAAGGTGGTTCACTTGACATGGGGCTAAGAAGAGGTGTGAGCTTTGGGGGAGAGCTACGAAGGTAGAGGCAGACAAAGGGATGGATTGGGAGGCAGGGGCCCAGAGAGGGTGTGTGCCTTGCTTAAAGTCACACAGCACTGTGGGTCACGTAGAGATGACAAGGGCGCAGAGAGGGTGTATGGCTTGTGGAGGGTCATCCAGCATCCCAGTGGTCAGAATAAAGAGGATCAGGGCCCAGAAGACACTTCGCCTTCTCCCACCTTGACCTCTGACACCTGTCCAACAGGTATCTGTGGGTCCGCCTCGGGGAGCACCACCTCTGGAAATGGGAGGGTCCGGAGCAGCTGTTCCGGGCCACAGACTTCTTCCCTCACCCTGGGTTCAACCAGGACCTCACCGCCCAGGACCACAACGATGACATCATGTTGGTCCGTCTGCCCCGGAAGGCGCATCTAGGCCCTGCCGTGCAGCCCCTCAACCTCAGCCAGACCTGCGTCTCCCCCGGCACCGAGTGCCTCATCTCAGGCTGGGGGGCCGTGTCTAGTCCTAACGGTACAGCCTCACCCGCCGCAGACATCCTGATGTCTCATGCCGGGGGTCTGAAACCCCTCTCTGTCTCTGTCTCTGCTTTTCCATCTCTATGTTCTATCTGTCTATCATCTATCTATGCATCCATATATTTCATCAGATCTAAATGCTATGAATGATAAGATGCACCATTATCTTACAACCCACTAAGAATGAGAAAAAGAAAAACAGGTTTCAGCCATCCTTTTCTTACAAGATACACGGAAGTACCTATAGCTAAAAAGACACATTTGCAATTGTTTTCACTTATCTTCTTTTTTAAAAAAGTTTATTCCTTCTTATTTATTTTTGGTTTTTGTTGCTGTGCCAGGGCTTTCTCTAGTTGTGGCGAGCTGGGGCTCCTCTCTAGTTGTGGTGTGCAGACTTCTCTTGTTGCGGAGCGCAGGCTCTGGGGTACATGGGTTCAGTGACTGCAGCTCACAGGCTCTAGAGAGCCGGCTCAGAAGTTGTAGTACACGGGCTTAGTTGCCCCACGACAAATGGAATCTTCCCAGAGCAGGGATCGAACCCGCATTCCCTGCACTGGCAGATGGATTCATAACCACTGGACCACCAGGGAAGTCTCCATCCATCCCTGTATGACATCATTTACTAGGAAGGCACATCCTGATTTCAGAGATGTTTACTTGTGAAAATACATGCATCTCAGAACTGAAATAAGGTCTATGTCACTCAGAGTCAGAAATCAGCATATCCATTAGTCAAATTCGGCTTCCCACGGCAGTACTGGCTTTCAAAGGGCCATGAAAATAAACAAAAACAAAAACGTCGGTTTGTGGCTGCCAACAGTTAAAACCTGAGCAATGTGATACAAAAGCCAAGTTTATTGATTTGCTTGAAAAATTAAAAACTGACAATGCTGGGTCCGTATTTCTAAAATAACGACCACTGTTGGGCAGAATTTGGCACAGTTCAGTGGAGGCTGTGCCCTTCAGCCAACACACGGGTACTTTGGTTCACTGCATCTCACCCCCAAGGACCACTGTTTCCCTAGACAGCCCCTCCCCAACTTCCCCATCTCTATCTAGTCTTTATCTCAGTCTCTGCCAACGGCTATCTCACTGTAAACGTCTCCTCCCCTTGATCTCACTACTTTCTCCCTGGATGTCTCTTGGTCTGTTTATTTATTTACAATTTTTTTTATTGTATTTGTTTCTGTCGCTGCATGCAGGCGTTCTCTGGTTTCAGAGAGCGGGGAGTTACCCTGCAGCTGTGATGCTCAGGCTTCTAATTGTGGTGGCTGACCCAGGCGGAGCACGTGGCCTTCATAGTTGCAGCATGTGGGATCTGGCTCCCTGAGCAGGGGTCGAACCTGGGCCCCCTGCATTGGGAATGTGGAGTCTTAGCCAACTGCACCACCAGGGAATTCCCATCTCTGAGTCTGTTTCTCCCTATTTCTTCACTGCCTCCTCTGAGAGTTCTCTTTCCCCTCCAGCGGTCTCTGTCTCCCACCATGGTCCCTCTTTTTCTCTGTGTGGATTTTATACCTATCTCTTCTCACCTCTTGGCCCTCTGCATCTTTCTCTGTCTCTCCGGCCCTCTCCCCTTCGTCCCCATCTGTCTCTCCTCCAAACTGTGATCCTGTTGCTTTGTCACTTGTTCCTGTCTTGGAGAGTCTGGAGAGTCTTGTGCTGTGGGGCGGTGGGTCCGTCTTCGAAAAGCGGGGGGAGGGGGAGGGCTGAGTTGCGAGGAGGCAGCTGCTGACCTTTTACCGACCTGCTTTCCCAACAGTGGAGTACCCACTGACGCTGCAGTGTGCCAACATCAGCATCCTGGAGCCCCGGCTCTGCCATCGGGCGTACCCAGGCCACATCTCTGAGAGCATGCTCTGCGCCGGCCTGTGGGAGGGGGGCCGGGGCTCCTGCCAGGTGAGACCTGCTCTGGGAAGGATGGGGGTGGGTGTTCTGCAGCAACTCCGGGGTCCTGGGGGAGAAGAGAGTTGGAGCCCCAGACTTCCGAGAACAGAACATGGAAGGATCTGGGATACCCGGGTCCTGGGAAGGGGTGGGAAGGCGGGGAACCAGTCCTGCCAGGATTCCTGGACCCAAAAGAGGAGGGGACTAGGGGTTGGACTCTATGTCCTGGGAGAAGAGGGGTTAGGATCCACGATGCTAGGTCCTGGGGGGAGGTGGAGGCCATGAGATTTTACTCCTGCATCTTTGGGCTTCCCAGGTGGTTCAGCGGTAAAGAATCCACCTGCCAATGCAGGAGACACAGGGGACGTGGGTTCCATCCCTAGGCTGCAGGAGGAAATGGCAACCCTCTCCAGTATTCTTGCTGGAAAAATTCCATGGACAGAGGAGCCTGGCGGGCTACAGTCCACGGGGTCACAAAGCAATTGGACACGACTGAGCCCGCACAGGTGGACTGAGGGAGGAGGGACTGGAGACCCAGACGCCTGGGTTCTGGAGGAGAAGGGAACTGGAAGCTTCCTCGGAGGAAGAAAATGCCTTGTGTCAGGTCCTGAGTAGACTGGCCTAACTGTTTCTCTGCTCCTGTTACGCGTGCAGGGGGACTCTGGGGGCCCCTTGGTTTGCAATGGGACCCTGGCCGGTGTGGTGTCCGGAGGCTCGGAACCCTGCTCCAGACCCCGGCGCCCTTCCGTCTATACAAGCGTGTGCCACTACCTGGACTGGATCCAAGAAACCATGGAGAACAACTGAGCCCTCGCGCCTTGGACGACCAGGAGAGGAGGATGGGTGCAGGGCAGGCGGATTTGCAAGACTCCAGTCTCGACGGTCTTCGCCCCTGGCCTCAGCTGGCCCGGAGACGCCTTCTGGATATTCAAGTTCCCAGTTTCTGGATATTCAGACCTGTCAGATTCAAACTGTCAGATATTCAGACAGTTCCCCAGATATTCAGAGAGTTCCCCGTGAACTGTATAGCTGCCTCCCAGTTGAAAGGAGCGGGGAGACACCTCAGTCCCTCTTGGCCGCATCTCTGACTCACCGGGAACTGGCACCGCTCCCATAAAATAGCGCCCCCTGCGGTCTACCTCGGGAAAGACATCCACTAAAGAGCTTCTCTAGGTGCTTCCCTGGTGGGAAAAGAATCCGCCTGTCAATGCAGGAGACGTGGGTTAGATCCTTGGTCTGGGAAGAAGAATACCAAGTGCCCGGGATTAACTAAGTCCGGCAGCCACAACAACTGCGCCTGCGCTCTGGAGTCCAGGGACTGCAACGCTGAGCCCACCGTGCCCGCCGCAGCTACAGAAGCTGGGGCACTGACAGCCGGGGCTCCACAACAGGAGAAAAGCCCAGGCAGCAAGGAGAATCCAGCACAGACCCAAATAAATAAGTTAATTAATAAACAGCGTCTCCCTCCAGAGCTTTGTCCAATGAGATTTCCCCTTACGGCCCCACCTCCTTCGTCAGCGACCCCGCCTTACTGGAGGGTCCCTTCCCCCAAGTGGAACTCAGGCAGTGGGTCAGTCTCTGCCCACTCCCCCCATCCCGCACCATGGACCCTTCCTGGGCGTGTCCAGGGTGTTCATCTTAGCGGGGACCGACCGGGAGGAGAGAAGTTGGGAGAAGGGCTCAGTCCCGCCCGATCTAAGGGATAATTTTTGCATTAAACGTGCGGAGTCCTGCCTTCCTTCCCCCGGTTTTGTAGGATAAAAGATGGGCATCGGGTGCGCGATAGAGGGCAGAGAGGGAACACGGCCGCTGCGTTGCAATTCCCCATAAGCCCGGAGTAGGTCCTGCCTAGGTCTGTCCTCATCAGCCCTATTGCAGCAAGGCTCCTGGGCTCTGCTTGGGCCAGTCCCGTCGCCCCCAGGGGAAGGGGAAACCAGGTCACAGCGCCTCCCAAACCTGCCTTCCCGGAATCTGGACCTCGCAGGGGGCCGCCAGAGGGTGGGGCGCCCCGCCCTCAGAAGTTGGGACCCAGAAGACGGTCTTGTCTCCCATTCGGGTTTTTGGCAGCCCCCTCCTCCCACAAAAACCGAGGCTCCGATTTCTCCTTCAAAAAAAAAAAAAAACAAAACAAAACACAACATTAAGAATTCCGCCTCCAGCGCCTTCTTGCTCAGACCTCAAATCCAGGCCTCCATCCCCCTCCTCCCTCTGACCCAGGGGTCCAGACCCCCAGCCCCCTTCTCCCTCAGACCCAGGAGCCCAGGACCCCAGCCCCTCCTCCCTCAGCTCCAGAAGTTTGGGCACCCATTCCTTTCTGTTTCAGCTCCTGGAGTCACAGTACTAAGCTCCTTCCCTCCAAGACCTCAAGAGCTGGAGATTCCAACCCCTGCTCCCTCTAGATCTCCCGTTCAGCCCCCCAGCCTCTCAGCCATACCCAGGGTTCCAGTTCCTCAGCACTCTGCCGGCTCCCGGGTGGGAGGAGTCAGATCGGGAGGCGGGCTGTTCCGGTTAAAAGGCTCCAGGATCTTGTACCAGGCACGCAGTGCTGAAGCACTGGGAGCTCTTCCTCTGGGCCCGAATCAGTAGGTGACCCCGCCCCCTGAATTCTATAAGGTGAGATGCCAAAGTTCTCAGGCACAGGGCATCAGACCCCTGCCCCCTCCCCCAGAACCTCAGATCCCTTCTTCCTTGGAGACCCAGCAACCAGCACCCCAGCCCCATGCTTTCCAGGACGTGGGAGTCTCAGCTCCCGGCTGGGTCTTCCTTCAGACCCAGGAGTCGGAGACCCTGACTCCCTCCCTCCTTGGAATGTGGGAATCCAACCCCATGGGCTCCCAGCAACTCAGATTCAGCAATCTGGAGCCCCATTTCATTCTTCAGACCTGAGACTCTGGGTCCTCAGCTCCTGCTTCCTGCAAGACCCAGAAGAATGGTTCAGGGTCTTGTTTCTCCCCACCTCAACCCCGAGATCACTAGGGTTTTGGTCTACTCCGTCCTCCTCCCCTCAGCCCTGTCCTCTCGTCTCCCAGGCCCCACCATGGGATGCCCCTCACCTGCTGCAGTCTTGATCTGGATGCTCCTGCCCTTGCTGCTGGAATCCCGGGCAGGTGAGCGGGCCCAGAGGCATCGGTGGAGCACGTGAGCCTGGGGGGACACCGTCTTGGTGCCTGTGGCGGCGTGTGGGGAGATGGGGAGTGTGAGATGGGGAGCTCCCGTGGGGTTTCCAGAGGGTGGAGGCCTGGTACACGTGGCAGCAGCTAGGAATGTGTTAGTCTCTGCTGGGTATTGCAGGAGCGCACCAAAGCCAGCGGGGCTGCCTGCCGAGGGGGGCAGACATTCACGCGAGTCTCCGGGGCGGGTGCACGCAGGTCAGGTGTGTGACTCCGTGTCTGGTGACTCATGGCCTTCCACAAGGGTACGTGTGCATCTGTGCAGCAGCACATGCAAGCCGGGCGGCAGACGCCGGAGGAGGGTGTGTGCGTGTGTATCTGTTTGAACGCACCGTGTTTTCCTGCCCCAAACTTCTCCCTCCTGCCTCCAGGACACTTGAGGGCACAGGAGAGCAAGGTGCTGGAAGGCAAGGAGTGCAAGCCCCACTCTCAGCCGTGGCAGACGGCCTTGTTCCAGGGCGTCCGGCTCGTCTGCGGGGGTGTTCTCATAGCGGACAAATGGGTTCTTACAGCAGCCCACTGTCAAAAGAAGTGAGTGGATTCCCGCAGCAGAGGTGGTGGAGAAAGAGCGGGCTGGGGCTTTGCTTCAGGAGGGGTGGCTGGGGACCGGGACTCCGAGAATGGAAGTCTGAGAGAAGAGGGGACTTGGGTCTCAGAGAGGAGGGGGCTGGGAGCCCGGATCCCTGCCCGGGTGCCCAACCACCCCCATCATCACAGGAAATACACGGTCCGCGTGGGAGAGCACAGCCTGAAGAATAAGGATGAGTCAGAACAAGAGAGGGCCGTGGCTCAGTCCATCCCGCACCCCTGCTACAACAACAGCAACAATGACCACAGCTACGACGTGATGCTCATTCAGCTACGTGGTCGGGTACCCCTGGGGCCCAAAGTGAAGCCCATCAAGCTGGCGGATCACTGCCCTCAAGTTGGCCAGAAGTGCATCATCTCAGGCTGGGGCACTGTCACCAGCCCCCTAGGTAGTGGGAGGGAAAGGAGGAGCTGGTTGGCCCAGTGGACCCCAAGCCATTGGCGATGCTTTGCCTCTAGAGCAGATGAGGAAGGGAACGTGACTGTGAGGTTGACAGTCACAGGTGGTCCACATTAGAAACCTTCAAGACCAGAATGTTGATAGGCATGATGGGGGATAAAGGAAACAGATTGTTTAATAGGGCTCAGAAAAGTGGATGGATGAATGAAGAGTGGATGAGTGAATGCATGGTCCTTTAAGGTGGAGAGTTATGAGACTTTTTGTGGTAGAGAAAGTCAAAGTGTTCATCACTAGTCGAGCCTGACTCTTTGTGACCCCATGGACTGCAGCCCGCCAGGATCCTGTGTCCGTGGAATTCTCCAGGTGAGAATACTGGAGTGCATAGCCATTACCTTCTCCAGGGGATCTTTTTGACCCAGAGATTGAACCCGGGACTCCTGCATTGGCAGGCAGATTCTTTACCGTCTGAACCACCAGGGAAGCCCTATTTTCTTGTTCAGAGTTTTACGTAATCTTCACAACAGACTTGGGATACAGGGACTCAGTGGCCAGGAAAACAGGCTCCCTCTTCTCCATCTTGAACCCAAGATTCTGGCCCCAGATCCTGTCACAACCAGGAGTCCAGGCCTTTTCTCCCCCAGGACACTCGGTCTAGATACCCAGCTCCCTCCTCTTTCTTGACTCAAGTCTGGACTCCACTGAGGTCCTCCCTCTGGGACTTCAGAGTTCAGAGAGGCCTTTGCCTTGCTTCACAATGAAGAGATTGGGGCTCAGCTCAGAGGTGATGTGATTTGCTAGGAAAGCAAAAATCAGGATTCATGTCCCTGCCTGTCTGACTCCTAAGAAAACAATGGGCTGCTGTGGAAACCTATCTTCTCATGAATCAGGCAGGTCAGTTCAAATCATGGTTCTGCCCCTTTTCTCTGGGCAAGTCCCTTCCCATCTCTTGACCTCAGTTTGCTCAGCTACAAAATGGGGATAATTATCCAACAGGTTTCTAAGCTACACGAGGGCTCAGATTATATCTGTTTTCTTCACTGTGTTCTCCTAGTGTTCAGGGTGGTGACTGGGATACAGTATGTGTTTGGTAAACATTTGTTGAAGAAATGCATGGATGAAGGAATGAATGACTCCCTCCTTCCAAGAGCTCATGTGAGGATTAAATGAGATTTTGGGCATATATCTTCTGGTACATAGAGGTACCAGGTAGAATTTTTCCCTCTGAAGTCTGTTTTTCAAAGGTTAATAAGAAAAACTAGTTCCACTGCCCATCATCTATTCAGCACTTATTTTGTGAGCATCTGATATGCCCCAGGTATTATACCATACAAAGCCTTGTGGAGTTGCATGCAGGTGGGGGAATAGACAATAAACAAATACATATAAAATGAAATATTAGGTGGAGCCAAGCGCTAGAATGGAATATTACAGGGGCGAGGTGAGAGGAAAGGGAGTGATGGAGATGTGGTGTTGTAGTTAGAATAATCAGGGAAGGCTTCTAGGAAGAGGTGATATTTGGAAGAAGTAGGACCGAGCTGAGATGAAGGACCTGCTAGTCTGGGAATGGGAAGACTGGAAAGATTCAGAGGTGTCACAGAGAGGCGCTTCCAGGCCCCCCAGTCACCAGATCCTTCATTTGAAAATGACCTCAGAGCAAGAAACAAACAGTAGGGTCCGAAG